CACGTCCTCAGAGATGCCCTGCAGGCATTTTCCCTGCAAAAAACAAATAGAATCGTCAGGAAATAAATAGAATTGTCAGGAAATGTGGGAATCTGCTGCTCCTTTTAGCATACAATGACAAAAAGAAGGAGGTTTTTTTGGGGAATTTCTATTTACCTCGTCAAAAGTTGATTTTTCCAGGACTGGGCAATTTCCAGGCTGCAAATAGAACAAGAATTAAGATTTGTGATTTAGTGGGAGTGTGGATGATAACTCCACGAAGCCATGAGGTGAAATTGAAATGTTATCAGTGATTTCTGTGTGTTTTACCCCTGGATCCGCAGCTGTGCAGGCTCGGAGGGTGTTGAGCTGGTTCTCAGTGATGTCGTGCAGATCCACCTCCTCCAGGCTGCATTCAAACCCCAGCGTGTTGGATTCCTGGGGCGAAAAATGAATTAAAAAGGGTCCTTGGCAGCTTCATGAGGCAATTTCTCTATTTTTATACATTTATCTGCAAACAGACACAATTTGATACACAGACACAATTTCATGTATCTGTGCTCGGATGAACCCCAGGAATGAGGTTTGGTGGGGAGCGTGGTTAAATATGAAATACAGAAAATGGTTTGGGGACCATCTCTGACATCCTGGGGCCACCACTGATGTCCTGGGGACCATCACTGATGTCCTGGGGACCATCTCTGACATCCTGGGGACCAAAACTGAGATCTTGGGGACATCCTTGCCCTCCTGGGATCATCCCTGCCCTCCTGGGGACCAAAACTGCTCTGGCATTTCCAGGTTTGGTGTCACCCCTGTCCCATCCCTGCCCTCCTGGGTGTCACCAATGTCCATCCCTGCCATGCTGGGTGTCACCACTGTCCCATCCCTGCCCTCCTGGGTGTCACCAGTGTCCCATCCCTGCCATGCTGGGTGTCACCAATGTCCCATCCCTGCCCTTCTGGGTGTCACCAATGTCCATCCCTGCCATGCTGGGTGTCACCAATGTCCATCCCTGCCATGCTTGGTGTCACCAATGTCCATCCCTGCCATGCTGGGTGTCACCAATGTCCCATCCCTGCCATGCTGGGTGTCACCCCTGTCCCATCCCTGCCCTCCTGGGTGTCACCACTGTCCCATCCCTGCCATGCTTGGTGTCACCAATGTCCCATCCCTGCCATGCTTGGTGTCACCACTGCCCCATCCCTGCCATGCTGGGTGTCACCAATGTCCCATCCCTGCCATGTTGGGTGTCACCAATGTCCATCCCTGCCATGTTGGGTGTCACCAATGTCCATCCCTGCCCTCCTGGATGTCACCAATGTCCATCCCTGCCATGCTGGGTGTCACCCCTGTCCCACCTCTGCCATGCTGGGTGTCACCAATGTCCATCCCTGCCCTTCTGTGTGTCACCAATGTCCATCCCTGCCATGCTTGGTGTCACCACTGTCCCATCCCTGCCATGCTTGGTGTCACCAATGTCCATCCCTGCCCTTCTGGGTGTCACCACTGTCCCATCCCTGCCCTCCTGGTTGTCACCTCTGTCCCCCTGCCATGCTGGGTGTCACCACTGCCCCATCCCTGTCCTCCTGGGTGTCACCAATGTCCATCCCTGCCCTTCTGGGTGTCACCACTGCCCCATCCCTGCCCTCTTGGGTACCATCCCTACCCCATCCCAGCCCGCCACATCCTCCCNTGGTCCCAGTGATCCCACTGATCCCGATGGTCCCAATGGTCCCAATGGTCCCATTGATCCCGATGGCCCCGATGGTCCCAATGGTCCCAATCCCGATGGTCCCGATGGTCCCGATGGTCCCATTGATCCCGATGATCCCAATGGCCCCGATTGTCCCATTGATCCCCTTGATCCCAATCCCAATGGTCCCGATGATCCCATTGATCCCATTGATCCCATTGATCCCAATCCCGATGATCCCAATGATCCCTTTGATCCCATTGATCCCAATCCCGATGATCCCGATGATCCCATTGATCCCAATCCCAATGATCCTGATGATCCCATTGATCCCGATGATCCCGATGATCCCATTGATCCCAATGGTCCCGATGCCAGCGGTGCCTCCGGAACCTGCCCGGTGCTGCTGCCCAGAGCCTGCAGGGGGTTGGAAAACGCCTTAAAAACCCAAAAATTCCCAGGATTTTCGCCCCCTCAGGGATGAGCGGCAAGAGTGGGACATAAGGGAAATGTTTGGGATGGTTAATGTATCATTAACAGGGGAAAGTTTGGGATATTTAATTTATGGTGAATAGAGTGAGGGAAGAATTTGGGATATTTATCATAAATAGAGTGAGGGAAAATTTAGGATGGTTTATTTATCACTAATAGGGAAAAATTTGGGATATTTATGGTGAATAGAGAGAGAGAAAAATTTGGGATATTCGATTTGTCATAAATAGATTGAGAGACAAATTTGGGATGTTTAAATTGTCATTAAAAGGGAAAAATTTGGGATATTTATCGTGAATACAGTGAGGGAAAATTTTGAGATATTTAATCTGTCATAAATAGACTGAGAGAAAAATTTGGGATGTTTAAATTATCATTTAAAGCGAAAACTTTGGGATATTTAATTTATGGTGAATAGAGTGAGGGAAGAATTTGGGATATTTAATTTGTCATAAATAGATTGAGAGACAAATTTAGGTTGTTTAAATTATTAAAAGGGAAAAATTTGGGATGTTTAAATTATCACTAAAAGGGAAAAGTTGGGATATTTAATTTCTCATGAATAGAGTGAGGGAAAAAATTGGGTTATTTAATTTATCAATAGAGTGAGGGGGAAATTGGAAATATTTAATTTGCCATTAATAGGATACATTTTGAAGGATTCAATGATAGCACTAAAGGACTCAGGATAAAATTTGAAAAATGTAATGATAGCATTAATAGGATACATTTTGAAATATTTATTTTAGCCTGAATGGAGTGAGGGTCAAATTGGAAATATTGAGGTAAATCTTGAAATATTTTACGATTGCATTAATAGACTGAGGCTAAAATTTGATATATTGAATCTAATCCTTAATAAGGTGAAACTTCAAACATTTAATGATAGCATTAATAGGGTACATTTTGAAATATTTATTTTAGCCTGAATGGAGTGAGGGTCAAATTGGAAATATTGAGNCTTTTCCACGCTCCCAGCCCATGGTGGTGCCTCTTTGGCTGGGGAGATGCTGCTCAGCACAGTCTGGAGCTGCTGCAGAGGAGGAGCCTCCAAAAGGGCAGGAAATCCCCAAAAGGGGGACCCCAACCACAGGGCTTCCCTGCCAGGAAGCAGCTGGCTCACAGAGCTCACCCCAGCTCCCAGGGCTGCAGGAATTCCTGTCAGCAGGACCTTGCCTCAGGCAGGAGGAGGATTTGGGGGCTCTTCTTTAGTTAATGCAGCATTTCAGGCTCTTCAGGCACTGGTGGGTTTAGGGTGAGACTTAAAAATATTAAGGGAGAGAAAATTCCCAGCCTGGCATCCTGTGGGATAGGGCTTATGCTTTTTGGGAATTAAAAACCCACCCAGGAGGGTCCAGGAGGGTCCAAGTGGCACCAAGAGGCAGGAACAAAACACAAAATCAAAACGTTGCTCAGAAAGCACACAGCAGATCCTCGTGTTTCAGAAATATCCTTTAATCCATCAATCCCAGCATTGCCATCACCCACAGCACCCCTCGGAGCCAGAGCAGGGTTTTCTCCTGCAAAAACCCAATTCCCTCAGGGCAGGAGGGGAAAACCAGCAGTGGGTGAGTGGGAGAACAAATTCTCTCCAGCCAGTCCAAGGCACTTGGCAGGGATGGAATTCCAGCTTTTCCAGGCTCTCATCCCACTGCTCCAGAGCTGGAGGGTGCCAGGGCAGCTCTGGGATTCACCAGGAACACCCTGGGCTTGTTTGATTTTTTTTGCAATTTTTTCCCTTAAAACTGAGAGCAAACTTGGTGTGTTTGGGGTTTTTCATGCTTTGGATGCAGCAGGAGGCAGCTCCTCCCTGAGACCCAGAGAGGCAGAGCATGCATGGGGTCAGACATGGCAAATTTGGGGGTTTTAAGGAAAATTTGACCTTTAGAAGGAACATTTAAACCCAGCAGCTCTCCCCACGTGCAGGCAGCCACCCAAGAGCTGCAGGGAAACCAACACCCCAATATTTCTCTATATTTTCTGCATGGATTTAAAAGTAAGGAAGGATTGATTTTTTTTTTCTCTGGGCTGCAGGTAAGGGCTCCTAATCCATCCAATTGCTAAATTCTTATTAAATTAATCCATCCCTGCTCCCTAAATTAATCCAATCCCCATCCCAGCCCCCAAACCCCTCCGAGGGCTTCTTCCAACCCTGCCCTTTCTGCAAAAAAATAATGGGGAAAAAAGTCATTTAATGAAAGAAAAAAGTGCTTTAATAAAAGCCATTCCTGGCAGGGGATGAAATTTTAATGCAGCTGAGGCCTTTTGCAAACAGCCTGAATAAGTCATCAGGCAGAGCCTTGGCTGGGATGGATTTGCCCCCGAGGAAATGAGAATTAAAAGGTAAAAAGCTGCTGGGAGCACCAGGCTGGGACTTAGGAAGGGCTGCCTGGGTTCTTCCAGCTTTAAATCCAATAAAAGAGGGATGGAGACAAATTTATTGTGTCCCAGTGTCCCCTCTCCTACAGTCAGCCTCTCCTACAGGCAGAGTAAGGAATTCCACATTTAATCAGTTTAATTTGCTGCCCATTTTTTAACATAGATGATTCTTTTTATTTCTAGAATTTCATTTAAATGTTCAGCCCTGACAATAAAATATAAAAAACCCACCTGGGGTGTGTCTGCTGCTTCCAATCATCACAAATTCAGGGCTCAGTGTTACAGAAGATTCAATGTGAAACAGAATGAGGAATTTATAAACAAATAAAATTATAAAACCTCTCTCTTCTCTCAGTTTCATGTGATCAGCAAAGCAAAAAAAAAGGGGGTTTTATACATTTAGTTGGAGGATCCACCAGCAAATCCACCCCCCTGGCAACAAACAGACGTGTCATAGGAAACAATGGTGGTAATTTTTATTTTACAGCTTTATACAGAAAACTTCCAACTCTCTGCACCCCACCGAGTGTTAATAGCACACCTAAAACGAATGTCAGGTAGTCAACATTCCCCAAAATGCTGAGAACTGAGTAAAATGTACAGATTACTGAAAGCTACGACGTCACTACGAGGCAGGCATGGATTTCTTGTTGACTTGTATAGCACCGTCAAGAACAGGTTCTTTATTTCAAAACTACAGTGAGGAATAAAAAAGTAGTCAATGGTAAAATATCATCCAACCCAAAAAGTCTCTAAACGACCAAAAAATAAAGTTAAACTACCCTCTCTTCTCGCCCATGATTTATAATGTTATAAGTACTGTACAATTCTCTTTGTTTCTGTAATAATAATAACATTATTATTATTATTAAAATGCCTGATATTTAGTGGCACGAGTAAAAAAATTAAAATAAATTAAGAAGCAGAGGCCAATCACCAGACAGAAAGCTTGGGACATGGTCAATGAGCAACACTGGAACTCATTCCCTGGACAGGACAGAGGCAGGAGGAGGGATTCACTTGGCTGGCATCTTCTCTGCCAGGTGCTTCTGCTGGCTCTCGGCGTGCCTGGGGGCAGGAGCGGGATGTTATTCCTGTTTGCCAAGGAAAAGCTGGAAAAGCCAACCCCCTGCTCCAGCACCAAGCTGGGAATTGAGTTTTCCCATGGAAAAACACCAAGTTTTTGCAGATCTCCTCCCTGGCAGGAGGGTGGGTGAAGAGCCAGGGGAGCCCCTTTGGGGTTTGGTTTGGGGCTCCTGGGATTTTTCCGGCCCTTTCCAAAGGGATGGCAAACACCTTCACCCCCAAATAACAGAGGGGGTAACCTCAAAGCCCCCCAGATAGCACATGGGCACAGCCAGTGCCCCTGCATTCCCAAAACTGGCATTTCTGAAACTGCCAGGAGCTGCAGGGAGGAACCCAAGCACCTTCAGAAGAAAAGAGAGGAACCCAGGACATGTGGGGGCACTGACTCAGCTCCAGCTCCCACCCCAAACTTCATCCTCACCACCTAATCTTCACTATTTTTCCCGGCTCTGATGCTTCAGTTTGGAATTACAGTCCTGGTGTGCTGACACTACCCCGGGCCTCTTCTTTCCCAGCTCCTTTCATCCCCAGTCTTTGCATTTCTGAATGAAATATTCAGAATATTTGGGAGCATTTTATATTCCTAAAGCCCATCCTAATTATCCCACACAAAAGTGCCTCTTGAGCCTTGCTGCCAGGAGATGGAGCCCTTAAGGGAACCTGCCCATATCCTGCAAGGCTTTTTGTCTTATCAATTATAATTATTATTAGTTTTAATTATTACCTAGCTAGAAAATTGTATTATCTTTATATTACATAATATATTTTATATACAATATTATTATATATAATAAAATCATATTATATATACTAGATAATAGAATATATTAAATAATTATATATTGTTATATATAATATATAATTAGATATACATTATTTATATTATATTATTTAAATGTATTATGTCATTATACATTTATATATAAATTTATATAGTTTTATCTATTATTTGATATATTATTATTTTGTAATTATTTATAATATCTACATTAATTTATAGTTACATAAACTATATATTCTATAAAATATATCATTATTAAATATTAATATTTAAGTGATTTCAAAGTTTTGCCCCTTGTCCAGTCCTCCTGATGGCTAAGACAGATCCCTGTCCAAGCTGGCCTTGGGCACTTGCAGGGATCCAAGGGGCAGCCTAGAAAATCCATCCCTGGGCCTCTCCACCCTCCCAGGGAACAATTCCTTCCCAAAATCCTGGGTGGCAAAGCTTTAATCCCAAAATTCTGGGTGGGAAAAGCTTTTATCCCAAAATTCTGGGAGGAAAAGCCCCAGATGCTGCTGCTGGTGAGCTGTGAACTGTGAGGGGAGAGCAGTGCCTGCCTCTCCTGGTGAGGGAAAGCTGTGAGGGGAGAGCAGTGCCTGCCTCTCCTGGTGAGGGAAAATGGGAGCTGTGAGGGGAGAGCAGTGACTGCCTCTCCTGGTGAGGGAAAATGGGAGCTGTGAGGGGAGAGCAGTCCCTGCCTCACTTGGTGAGGGAAACTGTGAGGGGAGAGCAGTGCCTGCCTCTCCTGGTGAGGGAAAGCTGTGAGGGGAGAGCAGTGCCCACCTCTCCTGGTGAGGGAAAGCTGTGAGGGGAGAGCAGTGCCTGCCTCTCCTGGTGAGGGAAAATGGGAGCTGTGAGGGGAGAGCAGTGCCTGCCTCTCCTGGTGAGGGAAAATGGAACTGTGAGGGGAGAGCAGTGCCCGCCTCACCTGGTGAGGGAAACTGTGAGGGGAGAGCAGTCCCTGCCTCACTTGGTGAGGGAAACTGTGAGGGGAGAGCAGTGTCTGCCTCACCTGGTGAGGGAAAGCTGTGAGGGGAGAGCAGTGTCTGCCTCACCTGGTGAGGGAAAGCTGTGAGGGGAGAGCAGTGCCTGCCTCTCCTGGTGAGGGAAAATGGAGCTGTGAGGGGAGAGCAGTCCCTGCCTCACCTGGTGATGGAAAATGGGAGCTGTGAGGGGAGAGCAGTCCCTGCCTCACCTGGTCAGGGAAAATGGGAGCTGTGAGGGGAGAGCAGTGCCTGCCTCTCCTGGTGAGGGAAAATGGAGCTGTGAGGGGAGAGCAGTCCCTGCCTCACCTGGTCAGGGAAAATGGGAGCTGTGAGGGGAGAGCAGGGCCTGCCTCTCCTGGTGAGGGAAAATGGGAGCTGTGAGGGGACAGCAGTGCCTGCCTCACCTGGTGAGGGAAAGCTGTGAGGGGACAGCAGTGCCTGCCTCACCTGGTGAGGGAAACTGTGAGGGGAGAGCAGTCCCAGCCTCTCCTGGTGAGGGAAAGCTGTGAGGGGACAGCAGTGCCTGCCTCACCTGGTGAGGGAAACTGGAGCTGTGAGGGGAGAGCAGTGCCTGCCTCACCTGGTGAGGGAAAGCTGTGAGGGGAGAGCAGTGCCTGCCTCTCCTGGTGAGGTTAAATGGGAGCTGTGAGGGGAGAGCAGTGCCTGCCTCACCTGGTGAGGGAAAGCTGTGAGGGGAGAGCAGTGCCTGCCTCACCTGGTGAGGGAAAGCTGTGAGGGGAGAGCAGTGCCTGCCTCACCTGGTGAGGGAAAATGGGAGCTGTGAGGGGACAGCAGTGCCTGCCTCTCCTGGTGAGGGAAAGCTGTGAGGGGAGAGCAGTGCCTGCCTC